AGAGAGAGACTTATAACTGTCTAAGATCATTGGAACAAGAAAAAATCTGTGAGTATATTCCTTAAATGTGTAGCGGGAACCCAGAGAAAATTAAACAGAAGGAAGGGAAGAGGGGTATGGGGGAGAAAGTGAGTGAGCTACGTCTTCATCTATCTTAGCAAGAGGTCACCAGGTGGAGAGCTGACGGAGACAGAGCAGCCTAAGCTTAGGGACACCGAGGTCCCCTAGAGAAACCGTGAAGAGAGGCCCAAGTGGTCACCTTGGGGAGCAGGACTGGGGGTAGGCTGGGACAGGACAGCCCTGGAATACTATTTGATTTCGTCCAACTTTGTGCATGCATTATTTTAATTTAAAAAATGCTTTTTATGTCACTTCCTCCAAGAAGACTCTCTGACCTGTCCAATAAAGTCTATGCGCCCCGCCCCCACCGTGACCACGCCCACACGTCCCGCCTCCTTGTTCAGCCACGCCCCGCTCACTGCCTGGGAAGATGCAGGAACTCCCTTACCCGGCCCAAACTGGGACGTGTAGTTTTCTATCCCAGCGAGATCTAAGTAGTGGTTTCTCCTCTCGATGTTCTCATCAACGCAGTGGTGGTAGCAGCCAGGCTGCTCCAGGCGGCTGTCGCCCTGGAACCTACGCAGGGAAAGAAAAGAGCTGGTGAGCGCTGGCCACTGGGTGAGGGCAGCCCCACAGGCTATGGACAAGCCCCTCTGGACCCTTCATTAATTTCCTCTGGGCCTTGGGAACGGGGTGGGGGGCGGAGTAGTCATCTCTGCTTGTTCTCTGTGCCTCAGTTTCCTCCCCTAGCAACGGCAATAAGGACCACTGGCCAGTCTCCATGGGGCTTCTGGGAGGGATGACTCACAGCAAATGTGAGGGGTTACTGGTTGAAATGTAAGGATACTCCGAATCCAGGCTTCAAACCCTTTGTGCCCACTGCAGGCGGGCAGCCTCACCCCCAGCCAGGTTCCCCAGGGGGTGTGGGCAGCAGGAGCCCCCCAAACTTGTTGCAGTTGAGGCTGGCCAACTCCATAGCCTGCCTCAAGGCCAGAATGGGTCTCACCAATGTGGCGGGAGGAAGCGGGGGGCAGAGGTGCTGCCAGTGGCCTCCTTCCCCCCTTGCAGGACACTGGGCTCCCTGCCCCACCCATTCAAGGCCCTCCAGGATCCCCCCACCTCCACCTCCCTGCCCTACCCCCACCACCCCAGCACACAGCCACCTCTCCGGCTGGCCTGGACACCTCCATTCTTGTCCATTTCCCCACGCCCCACAAGAGGTCCCCCCACACCTGTATTCACACCACATCCCTGCTTCAACCCTCTCTCTTACCGTATCCTGGTGCTTCTCAAATGCCAGTCATTCCCTTAGCATTTCCACAATGTGTTCACATGTCCTCACGCTGCTTATACGACATCAGTGTTACCTATTCCGTGTGTTTCTTTAAATAGTCTCTCTTTCCTTTCCTCCCTCCCCTCCTTCCTTCCTTCCTTCCAGTTAAAGAAATAACAGCAACAGGTGGTACTGTTATCTGCAGCTTCACAATCCTTTATCCAAAATTCTGAAATCCACAAGCCCGAAAACCGAACGATTTTTCGTAACTCGTTGGGCAGCAAAGGCGGCCCTAAATGGGTGTGGAGGTGGTTACCGTCTTTAGTTCACTCAGCGTGAGTATTAAGTCTCCCTGCAGAAATATCAGTGTGTTAGATGCTGAGGTGCTGCCCAGACCCCACACATAACATGTGGGAAGTACACCAGGAGCCCCTTTCTAAAACCCCAAAAGTTCTGAATTCTGACACATAACTGATTCAAAGCATTTTCGTTATTTTTTCAAAACAGAGTTTGATTTTCGAGTCTGTGACCCTGACATTTGTTGGTCCCCTGAAGAGAACCTCCTGCTCCAGAATCCCTTAGATATAGGGACCCAGCTGGCACCCAGTACCTGCTCATGTGCACTGGGCTGCTGCCTCTGCCTGGGCCCACCGTACCTGAGTGGGGCTCGCTGCTTCTTCTCCCAGCTTCGCAGCTCCTCGGTGGGCTTGGTCTCCACTCTGGGCCGCGTGCTCTGCAGGTCTGAACCCCCTGAGAAGCCCGAGAAACACCCCGTGAACAGTTTGTTCCTGTGCCCGCCAGCCTCCTGGCCCTGGGAGGTTTTCTAAGTGGCCCAACACTTGAAATGTGGGCCACCGCAGCTTCACCGTGGTGGTGTGGGAAGGGTTCTCTGAGCTGGGACCGAATAGAGGGGCCTCACAGCCACCTGTCCCCCTGATCTCCTCCCCCAGACTCCTCAGCCCTCATCACCACACAAGCCTGTCCTGTAGCTCAGTAGGCCTCCTGGCTGCCTGCTGTGTCCATTCCTCCCTCCACAGCTTCCGCTCATGCAGGTCTTTCCATCCGGAATCCCTTCCCTCCTCTTTCCTATCCAAATCCCCTCAAGAACCAGCTCCCAGGAAAGCCCCCAGGACTCCCTTCGGCTCCTCCCAGGCAGGGCTGTGATTCTTCCTGAGAGGGGAGTGGAGTGTCTAAGAGTCTTGCCCCCTGCAGCCATGCTCGCCCTGTGGTGGCCCCTCACCAGCAGGATTGATAAGGATGCCCTTCTTGCTCTGGCTCCCATCAGGGGCTACCGTGAGCTTCACCCGCAGCGTCTTGCTCGATGTTGGGGAGTGGTTGACGGAGGAATCCACCACCTCGTAGATGGTGTGCAGCAAGCTGGTGATGTCCTGGGTGGGAAGGGAAGCAGAAACCCATGTGTGGCTTCAGCCACAGTGCATTTCAAACACAGGGAGCTGAGGGCCTGGTTTACCCTGACGTGTTGAAACTGCTCTGGATCCCCCAAAGCAGAGCTTAAGGCAAACACTGGTACGTGGGAGGTTCACTTGGGAGAGGATCCTAGGAACCAGGGGTGAGGGAGCAGGGAAAGTGAAGGAGAATGTGCTGGTAAAAAATGAGCATCATCTCATTTACATAAAATGACCAGAACAGGCAAATATATAGAGACCAAAGTTTATTAGTGGTTACCAGGGTGACAATGGAGAGGGGAGCCATTGTTTGGGAAGCAGTGAGTTTATGGTGAAGGGAAATTTGGCACTGACTGGGGTCATGATTGCACAACCAATTAATGTAGTTCATATCACAAAGCTACATACCTGAAAAATGTTGAGGTGGCAAATATTCTGTTATATATATTTCACCAAAAAAGGAGAGAGGCAGCTGCTGATGCACAACCAAACACCTCACAAGATTTGTTTTCTTGACTTGGAGATTTAGGGTCATGGTTTCAAGGGGCATCTCAATCAACTACCTCATATTGTTTCTCAATACTTCTGTTCTACCTCCTAGTTCATTGCATAGTGACTGGGGTCTTAAAAGCTAGCAAGCGGCCATCCAAGATACAATTGGTCTCCATGCACCTGAAGCAACAGAGGAAGAAGGAGAATCAGGAATCGGAAGAGGAAATTGAATATGTGTCTGGTTGCCTCCATGAACAATGGCCTTCTTTGCCATGAGATCAGAAGAACTGGATGGTGCCCAGCTACCATCACTGAACATTTTGATGAAAGATTCTATAGAGGAATCTTGATTAAAAGGGGGAAAATGCAGAACAGAATTTCAAATTCTCAGTGGAATCCAGACTTTCTGGAGCCATGAAGGCTGGATAGGCCCCTGAAAGTATTACCCTGTGATAATCCTTAAACCTTAAATCAACATTATTCCCTGAAGTATTGTTTGAACCAAAAAATTGCTTATTTTAATTAGTAAAGTATGTCAGCATTGAGCATTATGCCTCTTTTTTAATGTGATTTAGGTGAAAATTCACATAGCAAATTAGTTTCTCATTAAACAGTTAATACGCAAATTGTTTTATGACATTGGTTGCCAACCGCGTGGTGTGACGACACTCTCCCCTTCTCTACCCCAGGTTCCCTGTTTCCATTTGTACAGTTTTCCTGGCCCTTCCTGCCTTCTCACCTTTGCTTTTGGCCTGGTGTGCCCATTAGTCTCACATACATGATTGAACTAAGAAGCACATTCCTCATGTATGTTATTGTTGGCCCTATAGACCTATCTAATCTTTGGCTCAAGGGTAAACCTCAGGAGTGACTTCAGTACTGAGTTAAAAGGGTGCCCAAGGACTATACTCTCGGGGTTTCTCCAGTCTCTGTCAAACTAGCAGGCATGGTTTTTTAGTTTTTTAATTTGAATTTTGTTCTACATTTTTCTCCTGCTTTGTCTGGGACCCTCTATTGTGATCCCTGTCAGAGCAGTCAGTAGTGGTAACCAGGCACCATCTAGTTGTTCTGGGCTCAGTCTGGTAGCGGTTGTGGTAGTTGTGGTCCATTAGCCCTTTGGACTCATCTTTCCCTTGTGTCTTTGGGCTTCTTCATTCTCCTTTGCTCCAGTGGGGATGGGAACAGTAGATGCATCTTAGATGGCCGCTCGCAGGCTTTTAAGACCCCAGTCACTACTCACCACAGTTGAATGTAGAACATTTTCTTTATAGACTATGTTATGCCAGTTGAGCTACATGTCCTCCAAGACCAGGGTCCCTAGCCCTCAACCCAGTAGCGAGGTCTCTCAGGGCGTTTGGATGTGTCTGTGAACCTTCCATGACCTTGCCCCGGTCAAGTTGTGCTGACTTCCCCAGTATTGTGTACTGTCTTACCCTTCACCCAAGTTACCATTTATCTACTATCATTATCTATATAAGACCAAATTAACAACAGCAGCTTGAAAGGTTGGATGGAAAGCTTAGAGTGAATTTAAGATAATGGTGGTAGAATAATGTGAAAAAGGATAGCAAGAATGATAGTACAACTTGAAGAATGTAACCAATGTCACTGAATTATACATGTAGAAATAGTTGAAATGGTGTATCTTTGGCTGTGCATACATTCACCAAAATTTTAAAAAAAGAACTACTGAATGCATGAGTTATTGCTGTGGGCATCTGGAGCTCAGTCCCCCTGGGGCACTCTGAGGAACAGTGTGGAACACACCTGGGAACAGTCTTATCCTTCACTGGTTCAGGGTTGCCCCCAGGGCTGCTCTACCCACTGCATTTCTAGGCTTCCCTGCAAGGGCTAAGGGAACTCCCAGGCACCAGAGAAAGCCCTTATGGTGAACACTGTCCACCCCAGGAACAGGTGAACTTAGAGGTGGGTCCAGGGAACACCTAGGAGGGCATCAACAGCATCTGCTTCAGGTGTGGTGAGCACATTCTGAACAAAAAAAATGGAAAACTACACGTGTGTCCTTAAAAGATAAATTATTCTGTGAGAACTTGACCAAATCACACCTTCTCTCTGGGCCTCAAGTACCTGTCAACCAGAACAGAGTCTCCAAACCATGCTCCATGGAATCCTGAAGCTGCTCTGAGGTGCCTCAGAGACTCCTGATTTGAGGGGGTGGCGTGGACCAGCCTCCCCTCACTAGACCTATGTTCTGGGCATCTGCTAAGGTAGTCTGTCTGATGAAAGGCTTCCTGCTTTAAAAGATGTTGGGAACCTCTGGAGAAGCCATTTTCTAACTCTCTATGGATCAGGCCCACAGATGTTCAATTAGCTGCCCAGTGATTCTTCATGAATGCAGAACAGACTTGGCCCCCTTTACCATCCCCTCTGCCATCTTGAGTCTCTTCCTCCTTAGCAGAGGAGTATCAGCCCTTTAGATAGGGCAGCAGAGGCTGGCAAGTGCTGCCAAGGCCAGGCAGGTATGAAGATGGGTGTTACGGATTGAACTGTGTCCCTGAAAAAATTATGTTAAAGTCCTAACACCTGCACCCGTAAAACCAAACCAAACCGGTTGCCATCGAGTCGATTTCAACTCATAGCAAGCCTACAGGACGGAGCAGAACTGTCCCATAGGGTTTCCAAGGAGGAGCTGGTGGATTTGAACTGCCCACCTTTTGTTTAGCAGCTGAGCTCTTGAAGTAAGGGTTTTTTTGTTATGTTAATGAGTCATACGGGAGTAGGGTGGTTCCTAAACCTAATCCCTTCTGAATGGTGTCTTATAAAAAGAGCAGACTAGACACAGGCGTGCACACACACAGAGAAAGAGACGATGTGAGGAACCATCTACAAGCCAAGGAACGCCAAGGAACGCCTGGGGCTACCAACAAGGCAGGGCCCTACCCTAGAGAGGATGCCCTGGTTTGAACTTCTAGCCTCCCAAACCATGAGACAACAAATTTCTGTTCTTTAAAGCCACCCATTTGTGGTATTTTTGTTACAGAAGCACTGGATAACTATGACAATGGGTGAGGAAGGGTGAGGGCCAACTAGGGGTACTTGCCTTGTGGCAATGTGGGCTGACAGTCACCTCACAGAAGCCAGAAATCCAGAATTGTCCATTAAATCTTCTCAGGGCCAGATTGGGATTGTGGGGTCCACCAGTTAACATAGCCAGGCTCTAGCTTCTTGCTTGCCACTCACTCGGGGACCCCGGCTCTTCTGGAAAGGCCTGCAGAGGGTCCTCCACTCCTGTCTTTTCCTTTCCTGGACAGAGCTTCTCGGTACAGCCACATGCGCCTGCTCTCTCTCACCATCTTGGGAAGCCCATGAAGGAGGCACCGTTAGCTCCATTTTACAGAGGAGGAAACTGAATTCTGACAACATGTTCCACCAAGTGTCGCACACTTTGGAAGGCCTGGGGCTCTGGGTGAGAGCCCAGCAGGTCCTGGCTGACTCAGGGTCTGGGGATAGGTATGCTTTGGTGATCCCAGCATGAAAACCAACCTCACAGGGTACACAGGGCCTGGCACACAAGGGTTGGTGCCCACAGATATTTGCTGCATGAATGAGGGCCTGAAGGATGAACAGGTACTTTCTTCCGAGTTGGAAAATCAGCCTCAATGCTGGCTCTGGGTTGGGGATGCTGTGAGAGGTGTGAGCCCGCTCCCGCACACAGGAACGTGCGTGCCAACGGCCAGAAAGCATGGAGGGGAAGAGCATTCAGAGCCAGGTTGGAGAAGTGGCTTCGGGACTAAAAATAGACCAGAGGGAACACCAGGCTGGGTCCTCCAGTGACTTGACACCAACCTCCTCACTCCTCGTTGGAAGAAGAAAAGTTTCTGGGAGCGCTCTCTGCCGGGCCAGGCTGGGCACCTTCCTTGCAAACCCTCAGTCCCTTGTTTCCTCTGGAGGACAGAATGTGGCATCAGAAAACCCATCTGCCACAGGTTTCTGCTGAGTCTCCCAGGTGGGGGACAAACCCTTTTATCGTCAGCACCTTCTGAGCCAAAAGGAATCCAGAATGCAGCCACAAGGAGCTGTGTCATCTCAGCTGCTGCACATTTAAGAAGAGAGGGAGTCACCGCCACCACACTCCCGAGGGCCAGCCTGCCTCAGCAGCCAGCGGTGGTTCAGTGGTAGAATTCGCGCCTTCCATGCGGGAGACCTGGGTTTGATTCCCAGCCAATGCACCTCACATGCAGCCACCACTCGTCTGTCAGTGGACGCTTTCATGTTGCTGTGATGCTGAACAGGTTTCAGTAGAGCTTCCGGACTAAGACGAAGAAGAAAGGCTTGGCCAGCTACTTCAGAAATCAGCCAGTGGAAAAACACCATGGATCACTATGATCCCATCCACAACTGATCATGGGGATGGTGCTGGACTGGAAAGTATTGCTTTTGGTTGTGTATGGGGTCACTATGAGTCGGGGCGACTCAACAGCAGCTAGCAACTAACAAACCTGTGACGCATTTCCCTGTTAAGGTAATTATGCCATACTGGAGAAGCCAGCACAACTGGACCAAGGCAAGGTCATGGAAGCTCCATAGACACATCCAAACTCCCTGAGGGACCAAATGACTGGGCTGAGGGCTGGGGAGCATGGTCTTGGGGAACATCTAGCTCAACTGGCATAACATAGTTTATAAAGAAAATGTTCTACAGCCTACTTTGGTAAGTAGCATCTGGGGTCTTAAACACTTGTGAGCGGCCATCTAAGATACTCCACTGGTCTCACCCCGTATGGAGCAAGGGAGAATGCAGAAAACCAAAGACAAAAGAGAAAGATTAGTCCAAAGGACTAATGGACCACAATTACCACGGCCTCCACCAGACTGAGTCTAGTACAACTAGATGGTGCCCGGCTACCACCACTGACTGCTCTGACAGGGATCACAATAGAGGGTCCCGGACAGAGCTGGAGAAAAATGTAGAACAAAATTCTAACTCACACACACAAAAAAGACCAGACTTACTGGTCTGACAGAGACTGGAGAAACCTTGAGAGCGTGGCCCCCGGCTACCCTTTAGGTCAGTACTGAAGTCACTCCTGAGGTTCACCCTTCATCCAAAGATTAGACAGCCCCATAAAATAAAACAAGACTAAACAGGCACAGCAGTCCAGCAGCAAGGACGAGAAGGCAGGAGGGGACAGGACAGCTGGTAATGGGGAACCCAAGGTTGAGAAGAGGAGAGTGTTGACATGTCGTGGGGTTGGCAACCAACGGCACAAAACAATACGTGTACTGACTTTAATGAGAAACTAGTTTGCTCTGTAAACCTTCATCTAAAGGAAAAAAAAAAAAAAATTATGCCACAGCTGCCATTTCCCAAACAGGGTAGAACAGTGGCTCCTTGATCTAGAACAACTCTAACCTCTCACACAAAATGGGCATGCCTCCATTAGCAGATGTGACCCTGTAAGAAGTCCACGAGACCTGCAACGGCCCTATTTTACAGGGAGGGAAACTGAGGCCCGGAGCAAAGCACAGAGCTGGCACAGAGGGAGTGCTCAACAGGGTTGGATAAGCGAATGTCTAAGGCTCTTGCTGTCTGCTCCACACCATCTGTAACTGAATGGCCCCAAGCCCCTTATCTACATAGTTGCTGGCATCTAGCTTCACTGGAGTGGACTTCATATGTCAATTAAACCATTCTCTGCCTCCAGGGAGGAGGCCCCAAACCAGGATGGGCCTCCACAGTTTCCAAAGCGCCAGGCCCTTCTGGGGGCTTTGACTGCCCAGAATCCACACCTTATCTTTCTGATGACGGTTCCCCGACTTCATGTTGTGAGCCACCCCTCACTCTCAGTCTCCGTGGTTTGTGGGTCAAATAACTTTTCCCCGGCTCCAGAATGGGCACATGACCCAGGCTCAGCCAATTAAAGCATCGCAAACCCAGGGCAAAAATGACTGGCTCAGAGCCAGGCACATGACACAGTCAGAGCCAATGAGCTTGGGTTCTGGGATTTTCGTTGACACTCTCACTTTGAGGGTTTTGGAGAGGATGGGATACAGGTTAGAACTGCCAGCCATCAAATTGCTACCACCAAAGGGAGAGCCTGCCTGATAATAAAGGGACACAGCAAACAGCCGTGGAGAAGCCCAAGTTTGGAAGATAATGGGCCTTGTGAAGTCAGTGCCCCCAGACAGAATTCCAGCTACAGGAACCACTATATTCCCGTGTTTTTACTCACAGGGATAAGTAAGCTGGGATTCTGTCAGTTACATCACAAAGAGTCCTGAATGAAATAAAAGCCAGTCACAGCTTCCTCTCCAACCAGTTCTAACATCTCTAAACCTCAGTCTGAGGAGGCGGTGGCCTTTTTGAGCCAGGTCTCCCCTCTGGCAGAGGCGTATCTAGGGTATAGCTGGTATGGCAGGTATTGCACTGGCCCTGGGCACGTGGCGGTACTGAGCCGTTTAGCACAGCCAGTGGCGTATCTACGGAAAATGGCGCCTCTGGCAAGCACCGAAATTGTGCCCCTGGGCAAACATCTGACACCCCTCTGTTAGAGAACTTTATCTGCTCAAAAATACAAGCCAAGCTCGTTAATCTTTTAATTAACACATGACTATGCTTGAGGAACGACGTCGGGCCGACCAGGTTAGTAGAAAGTGCTCAGTGGCACCACGTGCCCAGGGCTGGTGTAGTACCCTAGATAGGTCACCCCCTCTGACAGCGCAGAGGCCAGCTTCTCCTGCATTATCCACAGAGAAGACATACTATACTCTGAAGCAGGATGGGGAGATAAGACAGAAAAGCTTCAACGGCTGTCTCCAAGAACAGCCCTGGAGCCCTCACACACCAGACGGGAGGCCAGGCTTGGGGCCCAGCCATGCCGACCTCAGAGCCTCGGATCTGCCACAGAACACACACCCACAATGAGGGCAGCCTGGGGAGGGACAGGAAGTCAGGGAGCGATGAGGAGAGAGAAAAGAAGGTGGTAAACGGACGATGCCAAGGCCCAGGGCCAAAGGGAGGCAGAGACTCAGCAAATAATGCAACCAGGCCACACCCCTACTTAAAACACCCTTCAGTGGTTTCCGGTAGAACCTGGGATCAAATCCAGGGTCCCAGGCAGCAGCTGCGCCAGCCTCCTTCAGCTCCGTAAACCCCTGAAGCACTCCGGCTCCCCAGGGCCCTGCATTCTCTCCACACACTTCACACCTCAGCTCAGGAGTTGCCTCCTCCAAGAGGCCTCCCTCCCTGGCTGCTCCCGCCAATCTCTGCCTCACCACACTGTTTATTTCCCCCACTGAACACATCTCAGCTTATGATTACCTCGTGGCTGTTCAGGGTGGCCTCCCTCATCGGACTGTCAGGGCCGTGGTTGTTTAGGGTGACCTCCCTCATCGGACTGTCAGGGCCGTGGTTGTTTAGGGTGGCCTCCCTCATCGGACTGTCAGGGCCGTGGTTGTTTAGGGTGACCTCCGTCATTGGACTGTCAGGGCCGTGGCTGTTCAGGGTGACCTCCCTCATCGGACTGTCAGGGCCGTGGTTGTTCAGGGTGGCCTCCCTCATCGGACTGTCAGGGACGTGGTTGTTTAGGGTGGCCTCCCTCATTGGACTGTCAGGGCCATGGCTGTTCAGGGTGGCCTCACTCATCAGATTGTCAGAGCCACGAGGCTAGGAACTGTGTCTGCTGTGTTCCCTTCTGTGTCCTCCATGCCCAGTACTGGGCTTGGGCACCTGGTAGGTGCTCAACACACAGAGACCAGGCATGGAGAAAGGTGAGGAGGGTGCAGGGGGAGAGGGGTGTGGGAGGAGAATGAGGGGGAGAGACACACAGGCAGAGGGACAGGCTGTGAGGTGGCCACGAACAGAGAGGCTGGAGGCCTTCAGGGACGTGCAGAACAGTGGGCACTTAGAGTGGGGAGTTCATTCCTGTATCGAGGGAGGGAGGCTGTATGGCCCTTGTGTGGCCCCCACTCTGCAGTTCCAGGGCAGAATGGCTGAGGTGGAGAAGTGGCCTGGGGTGGTTCCAGCCTTGCCCCTAGGGTTCCGGGACCCAAGAGAGAAGGGAGCTGGGCAGGACTCCATGGGGCCTGGGGTCCCTCTCTGGGGAGGCCTCAGGGCTCTGTGCCTGCCCCCTGCCCTTCCCTGGTGGGAGCAGTGCCCCCAGCCGCCCCTTCCTCTGTCACTTCCCCTCATCCTCAGCACCTCTGGGATGTCCCTCCATCTCCCTGTCGGCTCCCTACCCAGCCAGTGCCCGCTACAGCTATCCCTTAAAGGAGGATTCTGGGACCAGGATCGACTTTAGGGAGGAGAGGCAGTGGTGCCCGAGGAACGTGGGGCCCAGTCCCTGTGCCCGAGGGCGTGGCGAGTGGCAGGCGGCTGGGCAGGCACTCACCTCGCGGGTGACCTTGCCATTGTTGTCAAAGTCATAAAGGGTGAAGGTCCACTCTTGTCGGCTGTCCTCCTCCACAGACACGTCACACTGCAGCTCCTGGGACACAAACAGATGGACATGCATGGTCACCTACTGGCTGGGGTGGTGGGTGCCTAGCCCAGAGGTGGGGGCAGGGGCAGCCCTTCTCCTCTGCCCTCCCCAGACCCTGTGTGAAAGAGGAGCAGAATGAGAAAGACAAGAGGCCAGAGCCTGGGCGAGAGGCCCGGCCTGGGGAGTGAGGGTGCCAGACACAAGAGAAGGTGGAGCTGACAGGGGCACTGTGGCCTCCCGAAGGTTGAACTCGGACCAAGGGCTAGATGCTAGTGGAAGACAAGAGGGAACAGCTCCTTGGGAAGCCTGGGCCAGACTCCCTGGATGGGCCGCCTGAACAGGAAGGCAGGAGAGGATGGGCACTACAGCCAAAGCTCTAGAGTCAGCCCGGGTCCCAGCCCCTGCTGGGTCCTCTACAGCTATATGACCTTGGGCATGTCACTGTTCTCTGTGCCTCAGTCTCCCCGTATAAATTATGGAAAATGGCCGTATCTGTCCCATAAGGTTGCTGAGAGGATTAAATATCCTGTCTCATGTCCCCTCAGCCCACCTCAGAGTTTCTCTGCAGCTGTGGTAAACAGTTCTAGGCCTCCCACCTCAAGCTTCTGCTTCTCTACCCAAGAGCAGCCTGAAGATCCGGGATTTAATGCCCCTAGAGGTAGCCCAGAATGGGCGAGGGACAGGAGTCGGTGGGTAAATGCCCCAGCCACTCATCCCCCACAGGACAATCTGCGAGGATCCTATAGGGCTCCTCAGAGGGTCCCCAGGAGGGAATGAGCCCCAGTTGTCCTTGGCAGTGACCTATCCATTAACCCTCCCTTACTGGCTTTCCTCCTTCCCTGCTCCGTTGCTTCTGCTTCCTGGCATCATCTCCAGTACACTACCTGCTCCCATGTCCTTGTCTCTGGGCCTGCTTTGGGGAACTGGAGACAAGGAGTGGGTAGACTGCCTGGCCTAGTGTCTGGCACATAGAAAAGTCCAATTAATGGTAGTAGCCATTACTGTCTTCGCTTATCATTATTAGTAGAACAATAATTTTATTATCCTTATTCATAGGCACCCTGGTGGTGCAGTGCTTAAGAGCTACGGCTGTTAACCAAAAGGTCGGCAGTTCGAATCCGCCAGCCACTCCTTGGAAACCCTATGGGGCAGTTCTACTCTGTCCTGTAGGGTCGCTATGAGTCGGAATTGACTCCACAGCAATGGGTTTGGTTTGGTTCTTTGGTTATTCATAGCGACCAGAGAGGTTTAACCATAGAGAATCTAATCTGGGAGTTGTGAGCTCCCGTCACTGAAGGCATGTATGCAGAGGCCGGCTGAGCACCAGACAGAGTTCTAGAAAGGATGGCTGTTTGAGTAAAGAAGCTCTGCAGATGGTCTTTAAGATCCCCAAGCTTCCCTGAAAACAAGAACAGATGCTCCGGACCATTCTGTTCCACGCCTTGCTCTGCCTGCCTCCCCTTCCTGTCCATAGGGCTGGTGCCCTGGCTGGCCAGGCGTGAGGACAGGCTCAGGCCCCAGAGAGGGGAAGGTGCCTGGCCTCTGAATGCTGGCAGGAGTGTGCCGGAGCACGGCGTCCCTGCCCCTGGCTTCTGCAGCTTGGAGCTGCTTCCCTCCAGCAGTCCTCAGGCCGGCCCACGCTGAGTTCAAAGCCGGCCTTCCCTCAGTTGTAATATGCCCATCTGATACCTGCCAAGTGTCCGCTCTGCTCTCAGAGGCACCATTTTATGCCTACACACACATACACACTCAGGACAGTTACTACTTCCCTCTCTCTGGCCCCTCCGCTTGGCTCCACAAGCTCCCTCTGGCTTGAAGTCCAGACACAAAAATTGAGTAACTGCCCCCACCTCTCCCACCTCCGTCACGTGTGCATCATCTCAGCTGAGTCCTTCTCAGGGACCATTGCTGAGTCCCAAGCAGTCCGCCAGCCCCTCTCCAGAAAGACCCCCTCAGGTTTCCAGGGAAGCGAGGGGCCTGGGTCTGGGCCTTCCTTTGGCTGCTCGGCTCTGCCCCCAGAAGACCCTGCAGGGACCCAGTGGGCTCAGGATACCGGGGAGGGGGCTCCTGGAAGAAGCTGGCAACCTTCGGCCCTTCATTAGCTGTTGGCTGGCCTGTCGCCCCTCAGCTCCTGCATCCAGGGCCCCTGGCGACCATTTTGCCCCCTTTCCATGTCATCGCTCACCACGCACCCCCATCCCTTGTGGGCCTAAAGTGGCCTCCTTACCCTAAATGTCCCCCTGCACATCATCCTCTCACAGCCCCTACCCCTATACAGCAAGACTCAACTTGGATACCCACCGTCCCCAACCTCTGCTTGCAGCCACAGTTCCCTCCCTTGGATAATGAACCAAAGCCCGAAACCAAGCCAGTTCACCATTGAGTTGATTCCGACTCACAGCAACCCTACAGAGCAGAGGAGTACTGCCCCGCAGGGCTTCCAAGGAGTGGCTGGTGGATTCGAACTGCTGACATTTTGGTTAGCAGCTGAGCTCTTAACCACTGTGCCACCAGGGCTCAAAGGGGCTTAATACACTGTTGGGGTTGGTGGGGCAGTGGAGGACAGACTAAATACACCCCTGTACCCCAGGTCATCCCTCTCACTGACCACACAGGGAAACCGAGGCCCAGGTAGGGTCAGAGAACTGCCCAAGGCCCGCTGCCTCCTGATCATCCTGCCCCCACCAGAAAGCCCCATGTGGCTCCCAGAGCAGCCTCAGGTGCTGGAAGGGCAGGTTACCACGGGGAAACTGAGGCCCAGAGAGGAAGGTCGTCACACAATGGGCTAACAGCAGCGCTGGGGCCACAGCCACGTTTCCCTTTGCCCACTCCCATGCCCTTCCCCCAGGCCACCAGGCCACAGCTCAGCAGGGTCCCCAGCAAGTGGAGAGGCCAGGGGCCAGGCTGAGGGTCACAGAGGGACCCTCACATCTGGATGGGCCTCAGCTTCCTTCCTCCCAAAGCACCACCCTGAGGAGAGAAAACCAGGGCCCAGCGCCAGGAAAGGAAACTCACTTCAAACTTGAGCTGCTTCTTGGAGCCCGGGCAGGGCTCACCCGCTTTCTCTGTCCTCTTCTCATCTGCACTGCCTGGCCCGTCGGTCTTCTCGGGCGGCAGGGCCACTGTGGGGACAAGTGAGAAGGCATGAGGAGGTGATCCCTGTGTGCAAGTGCACGGCAGGAGGGGCTCTCACGGCCAGATGCAGCTGTGTTCGCCTGTGGCTCTTGTCCCCAGGCCTGGTGTGGAGGACATTCTCGCCTGGGTGCTGGCATCTGTTCCTGCCCGTCCATCTGCTGAGGTCTAGATCTCTCTGGCCACTCATCCTGCCAGGGGCTGCCTCAGGGGACACCCTCCCAGGTCGTGTCCACACTGGCCACTCAGGCCTCGCTCTTTGCACCCACTTCCCCGCTCAGAGAAGCAGCCTTCAGCCCAGGTGCCCTCGAGAGGTGCACAGCCACACAGAGCAGTGTCGGGCCGCTGGGCAGGTGGGTGAAGGCAGGTTGTGGACCACACAGGAGAGCTTGGGAAGCATGGCCCATTTTCTGCAGTCTGTCTTCCACGCTGACACTCCGGCCTGCTCAAAGACACCGCTGGGGGGTTGGAAGCTGCAGCAACTGGGCTCAACTGGGCTGATGAAGGGCACGGGCGTACATGCCCGTACATGCGCACAGATATACACCTATACACACACACACACACACACACACACACACACACACACACACACACAATGGTATGCGTGAGAGTTGGTTCACTCTGCTCCAATACAGCCCTTTCATTCAGCGTCTGCCCACCCAGGGAGTCCTTGACCTCTGCCAAAAGTCTCGGGCCTCCGTGCGTCCTTCCAGGAGCAGTGGGAGGTGACTGAAAGCGCCTCATTAACCGACACTATTTTCCTGAGACCCTCCCAAGAGGTCCCAGGAGGCCGGCTCGGGTAGCACCCGCCTCCCTTCACCTAGGGTGCCAGCCTACAAAATTTCATCAAATCTTGACATTTCCCAGAAGACTCATTTGCCCCTTCTGCCCATTTGTCTCTGCCTGACAAAGGGGACTCGGGTTTGCCCGAGGCCTGGCTTTTCCAGAACCTGTTTATAGCGATTGTCTCAGTAGACTCCGTCAGCGGTGACTTCTATTGTCCTCTTTGACAGGTGAGATCCTGCCGTAGGGACCTTCTCCGACACTCACCCGAGGGGGTCGAGGCCACCCAGGGGGCCATGCAAGGAGCCGAGACCCCTGGGCAGCAGCCTCAACCAGAGATCAAGGCACTGCCAGAACTTTCTGGAAAGCCAGGAGCTTGGAGAAATGAGGCCACCAGGCCAAGAAACTAGGTGGGGGGCTGTGCACCTCCCCACTCCCATCCCCACCACACCCACACACCCCAGCTTTGCAGATGAGGACCCAGAAGTGGCCCTCAGTCCCTCAATTCTCCCGCTGGACCCTTGTCCTGTGGGCCCCAGGGCTCTTTCCCAGCGTTGTCTAAAGCACTTCCCACAGTGCCCCTCACCTTGGCAGCCACCGCGGGTAAGACCAGGCAATGCCCTGCAGAGCGCTACTCAACTCTCGCGGTTCACAGTCTCACTCAGTCCTCACTGCAACCCTGTGAGGCAGTTACTGTATTTTAAATTAGCGTATCTACACTCATCATTGTTCTTGTTAGCTGCCTTCGAGTTGGCCCCGACTCATGGTATGGAAGCGCCACTGAAACACGGTCGGCATCATAGCAACACGCAAGCCTCCACCGATGGATGGGTGGGGGCTCTGCATGAGGCCCACTGGCCGGGAATTGAACCCGGGTCTCCCACATGGAAGGTGAGAATTCTACAGCTGAACCATCAGTGCCTCTTAACTATTAACTCCATTTTCCAAATAGGAAAACTGAGGTACGGAGAGGTGAAGTGCTTTGCTAGTGAATGATGGAGCTGGGATTTGAACCCAAGCAGTGGGGTTCGAGTGAGAAATGCTTAGTCCACTGATGGCTTGGCTCAGGAGACCTGGTGCCTCTCTCAGCCTGCTCTGAGGGAGACAAGCCAGTCTGGGGAGTGTGAGTCTACCTGTTCTGACCCTCCCTGCACTATGTATGATCCTGGCAGGTCCCGCAGCTTCTCTAGACATCTTGGTTTAAAGTGAGGATGATAATAGTCACCTCCTCAGAGGGTGCTTGTGTGGATCTACAAGAGATGACTATGAAGGGCTGAGAGACCAGAGCCCAGGGGTGTTGGCCGTGAGCAGCTGACAGGGGAATGATGCCCCCACCCCTATTTACTCTGATGAATCAAGACAGTTGGTAGCTAAGTGTTATGGATTGAATTGTGTCCCCCATAACTGTGGATGTAACGTAATGTAACTACTTCCACGATGCCATCTAACGTAATGTAATCAGTCAGCTGAGGTCACACCAGTGTGGAGTGGATCCTAAACCTAGTCCCTTCTGAGTTACGTAAAGAGCAGCACAGACACTGAGACAGGCACCCGCACACACTGGGGAAGACAGATGTCATGGGAGGATCGGCTATAAGCCGAGGAACTGGGAAATGCCCGGGGCTACCAACAAGGAGGGAATCAACACGACTGAGACCGTGGTTTGGACTTTTAGCCTCCAGAATTGTGAGAACATAAATTCCGGTTCTCTAATGCCACCCACTTGTGCTATTTCTGTTACAGTGACACCAAGTTTTCTCAAAAGTGAGGCTTTTGCAATACAAATGGATACACAAGCATCGTCTCAAATACACGCAGACTGTAGTGGAGAGCGGGGTCGGGTGGGGAAGGAGCTGAAGCTAACGGAAATTCTGGGTCACCAGTGCAGACAAGCGGGGACAGGAAGGCCACAGCAGCCGTACCTGATGGACCCGGCCCGGCAACTCCACTCTCTGCGCCCTCACCAGCCCGGCTGGTGCCCATTCCTTCTCTTCACCCCGAGCACTCAGTGGGATGCAGGGCACCTCCATCCTTCACTGCCCCCCATGCCCAGGCCACAACTCCCCAGTGCTGTCAGGAGCCTAGCTCGAGGCCCCAACCCCGATCACAGACGCCAGCTCCTCCCCTGGAATTGGGAGAGTGGGTTAACAGAATGAGGCTAACCGGAAACAAACCTTAGAAAAATCCGACTCCTCGAAAGACCTTGAGGTTGGGGGCACCTGGCATCCTCACTGTTGGGAGTGGTTGTCAGGGGAAGCCACTGATACTGACTACTTCTGATGTGATCGAGAAAGCAAAGTCCTGCCCTCCCTGCTCCCCCCCAAGCAAACAGCTCAATGGCAGGGGGTGTCCCATCCAGTCCCCAAATCCCTCTTGAAGGTGGACTCCGAGTCCCAGAGAAGGCAGGTGGGTGATTAGCCAGCAGCCCAAGGAGAGCCAAGCACATGGCTGGGCCACCCCTGACTCCTCCATCCCAATCCGTGCCCTGCTGGACCAGGACTGCCACTGTAGGCCGACCAGGTTAGCAGTGAGCACTGCTGTTATCCCCGTTGGAAAGATGATATAATGAGGCAGAAAGGTCAAGAGGCTTGTCTGAATGAGTCAGGGAGCTGGGTGTCTCCCCATTCCCAGCTCTAAGTGAAGCTCTCAGTCTAGAAGGTTCCAGCATTCTCTACAGGTGCAGCAGAGCTCGGCGGGAGACTGCGACAGTAGGGAGGGCACATTAAGGCTCAGACAGCTGGGTTCACTTCCTGAATCCACCACAGACTGGCCCGGACAGCCTTGGACAAAGTGATCAGCTTCTCTAGACCTCAGTCCACTCATCTGCAAAATGCGGATAAAAGGGTTCTCCCTCATGGGACGGTTAGAGGGACGCAGCGAGAAGCGTGCTTACTTAGCACAGTGGCCGGCACACAGTAAGCGCTCAATAAACGCTGGCGTTGCAAAGGACAGCACAGATCCAAACAATCCTCCTCACCCCAAAACTGTCCCACTAGAGAAATCACAGTGACACCGTGGCCCGAAACATGCTCCATTCACCCCCCACAGGGAAAAAAAAGAAAACGGAAAGAAGAAAGAAAACAAAGCGCAGCTCCATCTTCAAAGCTGCTGCCTCCCTCGGCAGAGGTCCTGGCTGGAGATGCAAGCCGGCCAGGCTTATCAAAACCAAACTTCAAGTTCAAAGGGAAGTTATCAGAAAACCACCTTCAGGTTCAATGTTGCCTTTCAAGTTCCACTTGATAAAACCCAAAGAAAAGAAACCTCTGTCTCTGCTTGCTGCTTCTCGGGAGCACCTCCCTCCCTCCCCCCAGATCCTGTTCTCCCTCAGGTCCTCCCTGGCCTCCCTTCCTTCCTTTCTCAACCCCGCACCCTCTTCATACATCTTATCCAAAGACCAGCAGGGTCTACACTGTCCTCTTCACCAGCAGGTCCCTCCTTCTGCCCCAGCTCAGAAAACCACCCAGGCACCCACACTGCTCTGTGGCCAGTGAGCCCACCAGGGCGCCCGTCCCAGCACAGATGGGCAGTAGGACTGTGACCCACCCTGCTCTGAGATCCTGGGGGCCAGGAATGGGGATACTCAGCTCCCCTGCTGTCCCCAACAAAAAAGGCTTTTTGTTCTCTTGCTGTCTCCTGCCCAATGGCCAGAAGAGGAGACAGAGAACCAGTCAGAAACTACGCAGACAGAAGTAGAGACTCAGGGACCATCCTTCTACAGCCACCCCTGAAACCAAACTGCCATCAGCCCCCAGCCATCCCTGGGCAGGACACATTGCCCTCCAGCCATCCAGCTTCAGACAGCAAAGCTCACGGACGGCCAGAAGAGGTGAAGGTGCCTGCAGCAGGCTGCCCAGGTCAACCTGGCTGGGAGTAACGAGACTCTGTTGAGAAAGGCTTTGGAAGCAGAGTCCCAGCCCATTCTCTGCCCCTTACTCCTGCTCAGCCCAGCCATTTTTTCCCCAGTGATTATTTTGGGAGGGCATAATTTCAGGGGAACTGGGACTGCTCTTTCAATTGGAAGTCACAGTCAGAACAGAAGATGCTGCTAACTTGAAGGAAGGAAGGAGAAAAGGTGGAAGATGAAGGAAGGGAACAGCAGGAACGAATGGAGTTAGGAGGAAAGCAAAATCTTTCAGCTGCCTATGAAGCGCCTTTGGATGACTTAGGGCAGAGGCTGGCCAACTACAACCCAACGGCCGAATGC